AAACAATAATAAATTGGTCATTTTCAATCTACGACTGTTTGTGGGACATTGCTGTGCGCAATTGGCTGCAGCGTTCGTCCACAAATATACAGTCAATTCACTTTACAGTGTGTTCTGTGAAGCGCTTTGGGACGTCCTCCCGACGTGAAAAGCGCTATATCAAATGCAAGGATTATTATTATTATTACTGTGGAGAAAGGAAATTTACCCAATGTTCCGCCCAGCTGGGAATCGAACCCAGGTCTCTCGTTTGCGGGCGAGTGTTCTAAGCACTGGGCTACAGGACATGCAGAAACCTATCACTTTGCTTAAGAGAATCCAAACCAAGCTGCGAATTCCATGCATTCCACCTACACATGGAAATTCTAAAGGTAGATTGTTAGAATGAAATGCGTACTCTTTTTCTGGAGGGATGAATCCTGCTTACCTTATTCTGGAAATTATTAGACACAGGTTGGCAAGAGCCAAGGCTTAGGGACCTCAGAATATGTGTTGTGGTACTTCTGCTGTCTTACCAGCTAAAACCGCATAGCTTGACATTGATAGCGCTGTCTGGCAAGTTTTCCCGCTGCTTGTCCAGTTCGCACCACCCTACCTGTTAGCGCTTTGGCTTGCAGGGTTAACAGGAGCAGAGTGGAAGGATTCTCTGCCTCCAGTGACTCGTCTGTCCTTCCAACTGCTGACAATGAGCTATGCTGACTGTCCTGTCATATTCCTACTCAATAGATTCAATTATTAATTTAAAAAAACCTGCATTTGTTATAGTGCCTTTCATGTTAGGAGGATGTCTTAAAGTGCTTCACAGGATTTATAGTAAAGTTTAGTGACTGTATTGATAGGCAAACACAGTAGGTAATTTCCACACAACGATGTCCCCACAAATAGCCGTGAAGTGAATGCTTAATTTTATCTGGGGCTGGTGTTGGCCAGGACACTGGGAAAAACTCCCTTCCCTTTTCAAATAGCACCATAGATTGTTAACCGGCAGAAGTTTAACATTGCATCTGAAAGACAACCCTTCCCACAATGCAGCCACCACCAGCACTGCATTGGAGTGTCAGCCCAGACATGTGAGTTCAAAGAACCGACATAAGGTTTGAACCTTTCTGACTGAGACTTCACACCTAATTGCCTCTTAAACCCATTCAAGTGCTCTGAGATGCCACCCGGCATGGAGGGGCTATATAAGTGCAAGTTGTAGTTATGTAATTTATAACCCTTACAGCCCTCTGGACTCGATATTGATTTCAATCATTTCAGACCATAACAGCTCACCTTCCCCTTCCTCCTCTTCTGCGACCATTACCACATCATCTGCGTCCCAGACACACCTTTTCTCTCTCTGGTCTGCCTGTTTTGTTGCAATTTCCCCCTCCCCACCTTGTTTGTTTTGCATTATTACCACCTTTTTCCATTTTGTTGCAATGCCCCTTTGTTTTGCATCATTAACACCTCTTTAACCCATCATCCCCTGTCCTCTACCCCATTTTCTCCTTTGTCTTCCTTGTCCTACCTCCCCCTCTCTGTTAGTTCTTAAAAGCCTCTCCCTCCCAACATGCCCCAGTGCTGATGAAGGGTCATGGACCCAAAACATTGACTCACTTTCCTTTCTCCATAGATGCTGCCTGACCTGCTGAGTGTTCTCAGCGACTTCTGTTTTTGTTTCAGATTTCCAGCATCTGCAGTATTTTGCGTTTTGTTTATTATGATAATGTATACCTCATGAAATTGGCCCTGAAATTCCATGTTAATAAAATGAATCTTTATTACTTTAGCAATGGTGTTCTGGGAAGGTACAATGCGCAAAGAAACCAGCAGACTGGAAGAACGGCAAGTGATCTTTAATGAGATGTGACAGAAATTCAGCAGATGGTGGCAGCTTTAATGCATTAAGATGAGGAGACAAAAGCCACAGGATACCAATGTCTTGGATGTTGAAACCAACTCAATCCATGCTATTGAGCAGGCTGAGAAGACAGAAGGCTGAAAAGATAGTGAAAGAGCTTCAAGCTGTACTTCTGATTGAATCATGGGCTGGGTGGATCACAGCAGTCAGTTCAGGTTTAAAGCTTGATCCAAAACATTATCTGTTTCCAATGCCGATTGTATTTTTCTTGTATTTTGTATTCTTCCAACATTTGCGTTTTCTTTTTATTTCTCAAGGTTCTTAAGGTATTTACTGCTGTTTCTCATACACGACCAGTCGCGATCTTCATCAAGAGATGTAATATTATTTTTCATACTTCGGCAACACAGGAATTATGTCATTCCCTGAATCATACATCAGTAAGGGTAGAGTTACAGCTATGTGCACATGTAGAGCTCTTTGAGGTAGAATGGATGGCTTGAAAGAATTGACAGATATAATGGTGAGCAATGAGTAGGGAAAAGACATGTATCAGGAAGTTACAATAATAATCCTTGCATTTGGTGTAGTGGCTTGTTACGGCGGGAGGTCTTCTTAAAGTGCTTTCATAGGATTTACTGTGATGTGTAGTCACTATGTATTTGTTGGCAAATGTGGCAGCCTATTTGTGCAGCGCAATATCCCAGAAACAACCATGAAGTGAATGACCAGTTTTATTTGGAGGATTGTTGGCCAGGACACCGAGAGAAACTCCCACTCTTTTCACATCGTGATGAGGGGATCTTTAATATCCACATCAATAGATAGACCTCAGTTTAACTTTTTATTCAAAGAATACATTCAACAAATGCAACACACAAATGCAGTGGAGTGTCAGCCTAGACTAAATGAGTTCATAGTCCAAAGTGGAGCTTGAACTCAAATGTTTTGACTCAGACACTCTGTCTGAGTCTTGTTGACCAAAGGTACAGACAGAGAGATATTTTAAAAGGAGATCAAAAGAAGCTAGAGGGGAGGTGAAACAAGGCAGAGAGTTGCAGAGAACAGGTTGTTTTGGTTGTTTGAACAGGAGCAACAAAAAAATCAGAATTTGAAGAGGTACAGGCAAGATGTTACATTGGTAGAACGGGCAAGACTGGAAGAATTTGAAAGGCAGGATAGGATTTTAAAAGTTCTCAGAGATAATGGTCACCAATTATGTAAAAATAACATTACTTGTCTTCAGTAAGGTGATTTCCACTCTTTGCAATTAATTTTCCATCTTCCTTTGGATAACCTCTTCATTCCGCTTCATGACACTAGAGGAATGCTGAGTTTCTCTCAGAACCTTTATACTGTGATCCTTCCTCTATCTTGTGGTGCATAAGTATCATCTAATCTGTTATTTTTCAGTGGAATAGATGTGCATCCAAACAATTTTCCTTCATGGTTCCGAGTTCCTGGGAACGCAATGGAGGAGTTTCCTCCATTTTTACACTGAAGGCAGATGTTCATTCAAGAGCTGATGAGGAAATGCTGAGGCTTATGACAAGAGCTGGTAGAAGGCGTTGCCTGTGATCTGAATTCATGAACATGGTCATATATCCAGGGCTTGGACTTCACCGTCTCAGTAACGCACAAAGGTAAGCAGCTAGAATCACACATCCACCCACTTCATTTCTGTTTCAGCTTCAGATTTTTGTTCTACATGTTCCTCTTCATAGGAAGAACTTNAAAAATATTTTGGGTTTTGACTTGTATTCCGACTGTCATTTGTTGATCATCCACAAACTTTAGTGGCTTAAGTAGGATTTAACAACAATCTTTTGAAGATAAATCTGTGAATTGTTAAAACCATGAAGATTTATCTCACACTATCTTTAAAGTTTGGAACAAATCTTTTGACATTTACTTTTGAAGTTCACAGCTTGGTGAAATGAGATTCCCTGTTTGTCAGCTTTCCCAACTCTTCTCTCCACAAGCTATAGATTATTCAGAACTTTTCAGTTCGTGTCCTCTCCCGGACCAGGCTCGGTGAACTCATCGTCCCCATCCTCACTTGGCTCCACTGGCTCCCCATCCTGTAGAGGATCGAGTTCAGAATCCTTGTTCTTGCCTTCAAAGCTCTCCTACGGCCTTGCTCGACCCTATCTCCATGACCTAACTCCACTCACTGAACTCTAGCCTGCTCCACATCCCCCGCTCAGCACACCCTACCATCCGCAGGCAGGCCTTCAGGCTTTCTGCGCCCACCCTTTGGAACTCCATATCACGGTCCCTTCATTGCACCGTCGGAGGTGCCATCTTTCGGATGAGACATTAAACTGAAGTCCCACCTGCCTATTCTGATGGATGTTAAAGATCTCATGGCACTATTCAACAACAACAAAACTACATTTGTATAGCACCTTTCACGTTGCAAGGACATCCCAAGGATTTGCATCCGAGTTTGGGGTTGGAATCAAAAGGGGTGGGGGGTGAACAAAAGCACGATCAAAGATGAGTCTATTCAAAAAAGGGGAGATTCTCCCAGTGTCCTGACCACCAAATTTCCCAAATAAAAATGGTGACTCACTCCATGGACATTGTTGTGCGCAAAACTGGCTGCCGATTTCACCCACAAAATACAGTCAATCTACTTTACAGTATATCCTTTGAAATGCATTGAGATATCTCAATTATATGAGGCACTATATCAAATGCAAGGACTATTATTTTATCATGAGGAGAGCAGGGAATTGATAATTTCATCAACTTATGGCAGTGTGAAATAGATTTTCATTGTTGAAAGTTAAAAATGCTTCAGATATATGATTGGATTTGTAAATATAAATCTATCTCCTAAACAGATTCATTCTGCATCAATTGTGCAACTGAAATTTCAAAAAGTGTTCATTCTGGTTTCAGCAATGCTAAGTTTCCTAAAATCACTGTACTACAGCACAGGCACTAGGTTTTTCAAAAAGTATACTGGCTTTTCCCACCAGGATTTTTTTTTAAAACAATAACCAAATTCTGCACACTAAAACAATACAGAGTAAATCTAGATCCAGGTTGCAACAATTCACAGCAAAAAAATGTTCTAGTATTGAAGAATAAGCATACTTTTCGGTTTATGGGTTTGAATTCAGAATAAAATTTAATTTTAAACAGCTTGAATTTTCAATAATGCAGTTTATTGATGGTGAAACAAGTGTCAATACTGTTGTGGTATCAGATGATGTCCTCATGTACTGCCATTGTACCATCACATTGAAAGAAAAAAAGCCTTTTATCCCATGGAAATAAGACCACTTCCTCTCAGTCCATCACCCTTTGCAATTCAGTGTGCTACCGCATCAGACAAAAACAAGAAGAAACACCTCAGAATTACTTGCAGAAACAAATTTAACTTAATACATTTGTGTCTTAATGTTTCTGTGCAATTATATACATATATGCATCAAACAACATGATTTAAAAAACAAATACAGATTGCATTTAAATATGATTAAAACAAACACATCATAGACCCAACCCCAAAAATATTAACAACAAAGGTCTAACTTCTGTCACAAAAATACAAGCAAAATGGAATTTTTACATTACATAATGCAGAATTAATCACCTCACCAGTAATAACACAGTTCTGCCGGCTTCTAACAAATAAGCCTACGAGCAAAATCATGAACATATTTTTACATACTTTCTGCTTCTATATAAATAGTGCAGGTCCCTTCATGCTTCTTGTGGGCAAATTGTGGCCTTCATCGGATTGCTGGCCCATCACGTGGTGGAGGGCTGCCTGGTTCTGACAGAAATGCAGCAGTAGTAGTCGCAGCTGCGGTAGAGGTTTCTGTAAGTGTAGATGTAAGTACGTGGCGACACACAGGACATGTCCCGGACTGCAAAGTAAACAATTGTCACAAAGTCAACAATAGCTCAGTTTCTCTTTAACTCTCATCATCATGAATATTGCTCACTATATATGCCAATTTGATGGACTTCAATAAGTCCACAATTATTTTTGAATGGAATATGGGGGTAATCTTTGTGATTTTTAATGCATTTCTTGAATTCCAAAGACCACAAGATGCTGGCCAACACCTTGCAGAAAGTGGATTCTTACTCTTTCAGACAAGACTGTCACTTGACTCCTGATTGGCTCCCACCAGTGCCTCAGCACCTCAGGCTCTGGCAGCATCAACCTCCATGGTTGCACAGTGCAACTCACCAGCCAGTCAGGAACCTGGGTGTCTTGTTCGACCCTCAACTGTCTTTTCTTCCCCACATCCAAGCCATGACCCGCTCTGCCTTCCCTCACCTCCGTAACATCGCCCGACTCCGCCACTACCTCACCCCTCTGGCCGCTGAAACTCTTGTTCATGCCTTCATCACCTCCAGGGTCAACTATGCAAATGCCCTGTTTGTCGGCCTTCCCAACTCCTCCCTCCACAGGCTGCAGATAATCCAGAACTCTGTAGCCCGTATCCTCTCCCGCACCAAACTCCGTGACCCCATCTCCCCCACTCTCACCTGACTCCATTGGCTCCCTATCCTTCAGAGGATCCAGTTCAAGATCCAGGTTCTCACCTACAAAGCCCTCCATGGCCTCACCCCACCCTACCTCTGCGATCTCCTAAACCCCTACCAACCCGCCCGCTCCCTCCGCTCAGCCGGCTCCAGCCTGCTCCACGTCCCCCGACCCACCCGCCCTACCATTGGCAGGAAAGCCTTCAGTCACTCTGCTCCCAACCTCTGGAACTCCATCCCCCAGTCACTCCGCCTCGCCCTCTCCTTAGCCTCTTTCAAGTCCCGCTTCAAGACCCTCCTCTTTGACCATGCCCCTTTTTTGACCACCTCCCTTCCCCTCCCGACCCCAGCTCGGGTCTGAAATGCTGTACACTGTCCAGCGCCTTGGGACGTCCTCCTGACGTGAAAGGCGCTATACAAATGTAATCTTGTTTTTGTTGTAGACTTAATCAGCAAAGAAACCTGGCCTTTCTGTGCCTAGCATCTAGAATGATTTAATAAAAAATAATGAGTGTTTTAGTTATCGTCAGAACTGTATATAGCACCTTATCAAGTTCTCAAAATGCTTTACATGATTTACTGTGAATTTTAGTGACTGTGTATTGTGTAGGCAAACTTGTCAGTCAATTTGCATACAGCAATGTCACACACACAGCCATGAAGTGAATGACTAATTTTATCTGGAGTACTGTTGGCCAGGACGCTGGGAGAAACTCCTTTCTCTCTTCGAATAGTGCCGTGGGATCTTTTATGTTCACCCGAACAGTAGCTTCAATAATTGAGTACAGGAACAGGAGCTTTGTATGTTGGAGGTTAAACTTTGCAAGAATGAGAAAATCAAGCAGGTAACTGTCAACAGGACTCAGAATTCACCACTTCAGGTTGCCTCAGGACATCCAAATGTAGGATGCAAACAAGAGGTTTAGATGCAGCAATTCCTTTGACCCATTTGATTTAAACTTTCCAGAATATTACTCTTACTTCAGCAATTCTTCATTCTAATCTGGAGTCCTGTAACTCAGTGGTTAGAGCACTCGCCTCGCAAGCTAGAGAATCTGGGTTCAATTCCCAGCAGGGCAAAATGTTGGGCAAGTTTCCTTACTCCACACGTCTCTGTTTACCTATCAGTAAGTCGGAACCCGGTTGTTAGTCGATTGGTGGATCACTTTTCCGGGGGTAATAATTCCTTAAAAAAAAAAAAATTGTCACTCAATCCACGACTGTTTGTGGGACACTGTTGAGGGCAATTGACTGCCGCATTTCCCCCATAAATTATGCAGTCTTTACAGTATATTCTGTGAAGAGCTTTGAGACGTCTCAAAGACGTAATAAGGCACTATAACAAATGCAAGGATTATTATTATCATAGATTCCGGGGCTATAGAGAAAAAAATTAAGATTAGAGGGAAAAAAATCTTTACAGTCTTGAGAATATGGATGTGACTCAACTGTGCCAGGCTGACACTTATGATGCAGTCCTTAATTGTTAGGTAAGTAATGATATTAAGGATATGAAAAGGCAGGAACACTGAATTGGAGGTGACATTAGTTTATTAGTAGAGCAGGCTGAGTGACCTACTCTTGTTCCTAAATTATGATGTCCCATAGAGATTTTGTTCTGACAAATCTAATTTTCCTTCACAATATTATTATTTTAATAAGTAGATCTTTTGAAAAAAGGATTAGGGTTCTGTAAATGAGATAATTAGAAGATCAGGTCAGCTCCCTTGATTCCCTTGTGTAAAACGTGCAGAAGGACACAAGTTTGAACAATTTCACATTTTTATTTTTCTCCATTTTTGGAGAATTCAAAGAATATTGACCATTTCAATCTGACAAACGGGATTACTTCACTTGAAAGTCAGTTGAAAAGCAAATGAAGATTGAAGGGAACGATCTATAGCGGAGCTGGATTTAAAGGGATAGAATAAGAGGTCAGTACACTGGACTCTTTAGAAAAGCTTGATTCTGTAATGGGAATTTGAAAGAATAGGTATTCTACAAGGATAACAACATAGCTCTTCTTCATCTGAGCCTCTCTTGTGATTGAGCTTCCTTGCTTGCCACCACTACTCACATTCTCTTCAAACATTATTACCTAGTGGAAACTTCAGGTTATGCTCAGTGCCAGTGATTATGGGTCATCTGAAGGGATTTAGGTGTCAAATCCACACATTTTATGAAGGGAAATTCAACAACACTCAATGTTTTGCGAAAGCTTTAGGATAGAAGAAAATGTTCACATTTCTTTAAAGATGCAAATTCATCCATGATATAGCTTTTCAAAAGTATGGTACAAGAATTGAAAGTGTCCCAGATATTTTGAAGGCACACGTTTCTGACATATCAAGTTAGATAAGCAGAAGTGAGCTACTTTAATGTGCTCAAAGCACTCATCAGGATAAATATGACTTTTTAATCTAAAAATTTTAATGTAAATCAAAGTAGTTTCTAAAGCAATATATTTGGACAGTTGGGTACATTTTATGGATTTGGGGTTAAAATAAAACATTTTCTCATGAAGAATTAATTAGGAAGCATAGCAGGAATGTGGTTCAAACTGAATAGTAATTGCAAATAACAACAACTTGCATTTATACAGCGCCCTTCATGTGAGGTAGAGTCCCGGAGGGCTATAAGAGTTTCAACTGTATTCTTAAATGCTACAACACAATCACCAATATTCTATGCAATTAACAATTTTTAATCGCATTTTAAAATGCTGAACAAGAAAAGGAGATAAGAAACAGTCCATAATATTTAATTTAGTCTATGTAAAGTAGGTTAAAAACACAATCCTTCTAACCTCTTCAAACAATTTTTTAAAACACTGTTTTATAAACCCTATTTCAATTGAATTTGTACTGAATTCATAGTCACTACATTTTACAGTAAATCCAATGAGGGGCTCTGAGATGTCCCCTTGAAGTGAAAGTATTATTATTTTAATAAATGTGGATCACAGCTAGAGTATAAAACTTACTTTCAAGTTCTTTTAATCAGCAATCAATCATGCATTCCACATTATTGTTCCAATTTCTCCAAGACCATGATATCTTGTTTAAAATGGTCAACTTTTTCAGGCCTTAGTGCTGGTTCACATTTGTAACAGCTAACTCAAAATGAAGGTATAGTTTCCTGTTAGCCTGGCTCACTTGATAGCACTGTGTCAGAAGGTTGTGGGTTGAAGACTTTTGAGCTCAGAGTCTAAGCTAGCATTCCAATGCAATGCTGGGGAGCGCTGCACCATTGCAAGTGCCATCCTTTGGATGTGACATTAAACTGAGATCCTGTCTGCTTGTTCAGGTGGGCTTTAAAGATCCCATAACGCTATTCGAAAAGAGAAGGGAGTTTCTTCCAGTGGCAAACAATCCTCCAAATAAAATTGGTCATTCAATTCATGGTTGATGGCCTTTTTTAAGCTCATGTGAGGGAAATTAACCATTGTGTCTTTTGGGATTTTATGACTCCCAATCACCATATTATAAACAGGACTCCACGTACTTTTCTCTGAGAAAACAGTTTTGGTGAAAAAAATGATTAGATCAGAAGTACACATACATACCTTCTGTAACCAAAGGGTCACGCATGGTCCGTGAAATAGATGGTGGCAAGGCAATTCAGTTACCAACTCCTCTTTCACATATTCACTGCAGCAGATGGCACAGGACTGCTCTAGGCCTGAAAAATCATAAACAGAACATTCATGTTGCATCAGAGAAAAAAGACACACAATCAGGATTCTACAGTTCTGATGAAAACTAAAAAGGTCAATATACTTTTTAAGAAACAAAATCAGCAAAGCAGAGAACCATATAATGTTTTCAGGTTTAAAAAATACTGAGAGTATGCATTATTCTTTTCAGCAGAAAAATGAGTGCAATAGCTTCAGGAGAGGAGAGGAGAAAAAACAAAACATGTGCACAGAACTGAATCCTGCATTCCATTTGAATAATGACAAGAAATAAAACATATATTTGGGTTTGTACTTCTGAACACTGAAGATAAATCTATTTTTGGTGTATAAACTGAATTGTATTAGATATACAGAATGCTAGATGCATCTTTATTAAGTTGTCTTCTTTGAATGTAGTTCATCCTAGGGGAGGGAAATCAATAGGGGAAATGTCTAGAATATTCAAGGAACAAGCAGGTCTTCCCCCCACCCCATTTGCACGTCTAAGCCTCGTTCTAAAAGCTTACCTCAGTTCTTTTTGAAAGAATGTAGAAGGCATGAGACTAAATTTGTGAAAAAGTTAAATACACAACAACTGATTTGATAAGGATGCTATATAAGAGATTAATGGTTAAAATTAAAGTGCACAGAATTGAAAACAATTTCATGAGAGGAAATTGGCTGGGCTAGGACTCAGATAGCTGGGATCAAAAGAAACGTGTTTGACAGACAGTGACAATGATGTGCCTCAGGGATCAATCCAGTGGTGTCATCAGATCAATTCCTGGGTTTAAAATATGCTAAGAGGCTGAGTAAACTTGGTTTATAATCCGTAGATCTAAGGAGGTTAAAGGATGATCCGATTGAGGCACTTAAAAGAAAATGAGAACTGATGAGTAAGATATGGATTGACTCTTCCTTCTGGTTGAGGGATCCAAAACAAAATAGACAATGTTGGGTCGTTTAAAAAAACTGTTTGGAAGGTAAGGGGATTAAAGGATGTGAAGAAAAAATGGGGAAATAGGATTGAAGTAGAAGAGGCTTGATAACTTGAATGGCCTACTCCTCCTGATCCCATTGTAGTATGTTAGCTTTTCTCACCCAAATAAGTAATATGAACAGTACAAGTGTCAGCCTGGACTGGGTGTAATGACAGAAAGAATAGGAAAGAACAAAGAAAGAAATTCCTTTGTTCCAAGAAAGAATAAAAAGTCAGGTTTCCTGATCTTAATTGCCATTCAGTTGGAAAATAAACATGTGGATGCCAGGATCATATTCAGTCTCCACTTGCCACACACATTGAACACTGAAGAAAGGTAATACAGAGTTTGTGGCACTCCTGAAACCAATGTGACTTATTGCCTCAGAAGATAATAATCTTTGCATTTGATATAGAGCCTTATCACGTCTTCAAGACATCTCAAAGCGCTTCACAGAATATACTGCAAAGTGAATTGACTGTATATTTTGTGGGTGAAATGCAGCAACTAATTGCTCACAGCAGTGTCCCACAAACAGTCATGGATTGAGTAACCAATTTATCATTACTTTTTTTTAAAAGGAATTATTACCCCTGGAAAAGCGATCGCAAATCAACTAACAACAGGCTTGCTGCTAGGTAAACATTTGTGGAGATTTGTGGAGTAAGGAAACTTGACCAGCATTTCGCTCTGCCAGGAATCGAACCCAGGTCTCTCTCTTGCGAGGCGAGTGCTCTAACCACTGAGCTACAGGACTCCACAAAATGACAGAAATGAAAAAAATGGAGGAAAAATGTGAAACCTTTTAGGCATGAATTTTGGTCTCATGATCACCTTTATCCATAGGTAAAATACCAAAGTAGTACTCCACAAACCTCAGAAGCTATATGAAATTTAAAAAAATCATAAAATATTTTCAATTATCAATTCATGAGTTTAAATGCATCTAATTTGCCCTCGCAGTAAATTCAATTCAAGCCTTAGGTTACTATGATCTGTGAAAGGTTTAACTTTTTAGATAACCTTCAGAAAAAGGAACACTAGGTTCAGCTGAATTTCTCATCACAAATAGGCAATTGACTGCAACAGATCCATGTGAATCCCCAGGCCTTGTAACTTTAATGTATTCCGTAGCTTCGTCCCAAAGGAAGTCACTTGAGGAAATAAACAATCGTCTTGTTCATCTTGACCTATGGCAACTGAATGCGTGTCCCTGGAGGCACTGTAAAGAATGCCTAGCTGCAGGTATCTCAAGACGATGTGTGCAGAAAATTCACTCACAGTAACTTGCCTTAATCGTGTATTATTTGGACAATATAGAATTCAAGTTTAATATTGTAGCAAGATTATGCCCTGATTAGTATGGAACGGGCACTATAGGAAGAACAAGTCCTAGACTGGCTGTATTGGGGTTTCTCATTGCAGAGAACCTGCCTAATAAGACAAAGCACTATATATAATACCTGAAGAGGAGGAAAAAGGGAGAGCAAAAGGAATCATCCAAAAAGCAGGAAGCATAACTCCCACCCCAGGTCAGAGAAAAACTGACCCTGTGGATCAGTGAACTGAATCTCAAGTGGCCTTTTCATCATTGTGAAATCTGTATAACCCACTGTGCTTCATAGATCTTCCTCTGATACCCTGCAGTCAAAACTATAGTCTCCCTAGAATATCTCCTGCTAAAGAAGAAAAAGTTTACTGGAGACAAGTATGACTGTATTATTTACAAAGGCAGTAATTTCAATTGAAAGACTATTACATTAAAGCTGAGGTTTCATTCATTTTACTCTCTCCGTTGATCTCTTTGGTTTCTTCTCAGAAGCTCATTTGTCAATAAAATAGTGATCATTTAAAAAAAAAGCACAAATACAACCATAACTTGTATTAATATTGCCAAGAATTACCATCCAACTGACTTGAAATTAAACCCCAATTTTTGGAAATACCGATAAAAATACTAATAATGTATACTAGTAACATCCAAATTATACTCGTTACCATTTTGTTCCTCGGTAACTGAAATTTGTGGTAATTTTTCAATTGTGTCCTTGGTAGCTGGAGGTGGAGCTTGTTCCCCATCTATCGCCAAAGACTCGAGGTGTGCCAAGGCAGCCTTTCAATCAAAACAGAATTAAAAGTTTTAGTTTTCAGGTAAGGAACCAAAACCTTATTCAGCAGTTTTCACTTCATGTTAAACACAAAGATGCATTTTAAACCAGATTATTTTTTGTTATATACAAAACGAAAATACTGCAGATGCTGTAAATCTGAAACAAAAACAGAAGTCAGTGGGAACACTCAGCAAATCAGACAGCATCCAGGGAGAAAGTGAGTCTACATTTCGGGTCCACGACCCTTGGTCAGAACTGAAGGGTCGTGGATCCGAAACATTGACTCACTTTCCTTTCTCCATAGATGCTGCCTGACCTGCTGAGTGCTCCCACCAACTTCTATTTTTTTATATAGGCTGGGAAGGAAAAGGGGCAATATGTGCTGAATCTGTTACTATCTGCCTTCTTACATAATATGATGAAGCACAGTCAGATCAGGCACAAGTCACTTATAGCATAGCTATCTACTGCTGTAATTTAAACGGAGAAGTTTGAAAATATAGATTACCTACCCTGTAGCGCTCTAATAAGATGCTACCTCAAAGAAGAGTACTATAAATACAAGGTGTTATAGGGTCTTTATGCTTTGAATGGGGGCCGGAAGACAAACCCTTCCTGCCTCCCCCAGGAAAAAAGACCGCAATAAATATTCCTCCAACAGGTTGTGACATCTTACTTAATGTTAGGGATCTCTCTCCTGTACTCCATTCTACACCTTGATTTTTTTAAAATCTGGGACTTGTTTTAAAATCCATATTTGGCAAGAAGAAACAGCATGCTCTTCCACACATCCACCAAATATTTACTGCTTGGAGGATGTCCTCAAAGTATGAAGTTCCATGCAAGGCAGATATTATTCTCTTGTTTACTTCATTCATCTTCCACACACTGATGGAGCCTGACAATAGTAAGTCTGAAGACAATGGAGTTGCCAGTGAGCTGAAACTCAAGTTGTCAGCATGTTAGGTATACTTCATCCACAGCTGGTAAATCAAAGTAATAGTGCCTGGTGATGGTACAGTGATTATTTCTCTAATTAACAAATGCTAAAAATGAATACCTGCTTTAAGGATGCCTAAGAGGCAAGAGTGGACCTTGTGGAATGCTGCTTTACCAGAAGTATTTCTTCCAGCAATGCAAACTTTAATTAAGCATCCATTCAACTGAACATGATTTTCGAATAGGGCTGACCCAGATCTTAGTGCTGAAAGTGAGATTGGCACCACCAATAAAAACGCCAGAGTCCTTAGAATGCCCACATAATGAAAAAATATATTAATTAAATTTGTATAGAGGACGATACAATAATTAGATAAATATCTCTTGATAAGATGTGAAAAAGTGAAGACAAATTAAGAGGTGTTGAGGGACCACCTTATTCTGGTTCAGATTATTACTAACCTCGCTTTAGACTGCAAAAAGCCTAGATAACTAGTACATTAATTGGACAAAACAAAATTCAGACTTCCACTTTGGGAGGACAAAATTGCATTCATAAAGAGAAAAAAAGGAGCCCTCCTTAAGCAGCTATTCAGCAGATTACCTTGGGAAAGAAAAGCTGACAGGGCAAATACAGATAAATAATGTTTTAATGATTACTACCTGCATGGCCTGAGCCAATCGCTCTTCAAGAGCCATAAATGTAAGAAGTTGCGGATCAACGGATGAAATGGCTTGAGCTGCAAGTCCTTCTCCAAGCTCATCCAGCAACCTGGAAAAGAAGTTCAAATATGCAATATAAAGACTCTCTTTCAAAATTAATTTTTCAAATCATGATTTATTATCTCTGGGGCCTTTGTTCACTGAGCTGTTAAATAGGAAAAGTTGATACGTTATTACATTTTTAAGTAGTAAAAATATTCTCAAGCAGAAACTAGGACAGTTTTATTAATTTTGACTTGAATATTCATCAGCAAATTACAATGTATGGGAGGGGAGAGGGGGGAAGAGGAGAAACATAAATACCAAAATTCACCGAATATGCTCAATTGAACTGAAGTTGAAGTCAATTGAACTGAAGTTTCATCTAAAAGTGTATTAGTAAGAAATTATTTGAACGCATCATTTAACATTCAAAACTAGTTGAGCAATGTATTTTTAAACTTGCACATTAAATAGTTGAGTTACAGCTAGTTACTAACAAAGCAGAACATTCAAATCCAAAGTTTTCTTGATGAATTTGTAATAGGCATTCAAAATAATAATCCTTGCATTTGATATAGCACCTTATGTTGTCTTTGTGAGACATCTCAAAGAGCTTCACAGAATATACTGTGAAGTAAATTCACTGTATATTTTGTGAACAAAACGCGGCAGCCGACTGCCCACAGCAGCGTCCCACAAACAGTCGTGGATTGAATTGACTAATTTATTAATATTATTTTTTTGAAGGAATTATTATCTCTGTAAAAGCGATCCGCCAATTGACTAACAACTGGGTTCCTACTTACTGTTAGATAAACAGAGGCATGTGGAGTAAGGAAACTTGCACAATATTTCACCTGGCCGGGAATCAAATCCAGGTATCTCGCTTGTGAGATGAGTGCTCTAAACACTGAGCTACAGGACTCCATGTCAAATGTGCATCTTACAACCTTTATATGCTCAACACCTCTACACCTTATTTCCCATCACAAAGTCTGAACAGGTCACAGATTTTATTATCTCCCATGCTAATACTGTTCAATGCTGAGCTAACACTTTACCTTAAATGACATTACATCAGTTCTTACCAAGCAGAAAGCAGCCTTGCGACATCTCCCACAACAGTGAGATACACTTCATCATACTCCAGAGGAACCCTCCTACACTTTTCATGGAGAAAAGAAAAGTCACCTCCTATCATTGTACAAAAAATACAGTGCATTTTACCAGACAACCAAATTTATTTCCAATGGCTCCAGTGGAATACTAAACGTGAAGTACCTACACAGTATAATGAAACACACTACAGTGAAATCTTGTTACTATGTGGTGGTTGGGAATCCATAAAATCAGTGAAGTGAAATGGATAGTTTCACTGTGCATATACACAGCTTTCTTGTTCCTGTACTGAGCCTCCACAAACTTCTAAGTCATCAGGTCATCACCGATATCACTTCTAGTTTGTTGCCCATATGCATAAAAATCTAAAATGACAGCATGCCCAACAAACAAGAAATGAATTCAGTGGTAACGACCTGCATTTTGTGTGAAAGTGGAAAGCGTGCAGGAACAAGTAGTCAGCTGCACACGGTGAATGGGGGAGGGGGGGCACCATATAATAACCAAATGCATGTTAGAAACAAAGTACTGAGGATAGTAGTCTATTTTGTCCTTAATAGTTAAAATTTGAATTTTGGTAACCCGTATTTTCAATGCAAACAAAAAGACCACGAAAAGGGATCTAAATACTAAGTTCCCTCATTACCATAAGGTCACATACTCCAGAAAAGATGACCACAACTTTAAAAACATTATCTGGGTTGAAAGAATAGATAGTAAATAATCCTTACATTTGATATTGCACCGTTCATATTGCCGAGGAGTCTTAAAACACTTCACAGAATATACTGTAAAGTGGAGTGACTGTATTTTGTAGGCGAAACAATCTTTTCCAAATACACTGCAGTACACAGCAAAACATCTAAATTAAGTGATCTGCGAGGCAGATCCACTTGAAACCAAAAGAGAATACATTCAGATTATATTCCAAAACTCCCCGGGACAGTGTAGGTCTGTTTGTAGTTGCACTGTGAACTTGACAGACGTTCATAATAATCCCTCCAAAAAAACAAAAAACAATAATAAATTGGTCATTTTCAATCCATGACTGTTTGTGGGACACTGCTGTGCGCAATTGGCTGCCGCGTTCGCCCACAAATATACAGTCAATTCACTTTACAGTCTATTCTGTGAAGCGCTTTGGGACGTCCTCCCGACGTGAAAAGCGCTATATCAAATGCAAGGATTATTATTATTATTCTGTGAAGCGCTTTGGGATGTCTAGAAGACGTAAAAAGCGCTATATCAAATGCAAGGATTATTATTATTATTATTACACTTCTAGCTGCAACTAGCAGGCTTCCTGCATCTAGTTACCATTTGGTACAGCAGGGAGAAAAATAGCTGAAAGACGAGGAGGAGGAGAAGAATAAAGAGCGCTGCATTGAAAGTTTCCACTCCATTAGATCAATTTTGTGCTATAAACTTATTTTTGTTACTAAATTGCTCATTTTGCAGTTTAGTCATAGACATGTTATTATATAAATGCTGCTCGCATCTTGCTTAACTGCCTATGAAATCACTTCTGGCAATGTCGAACTCACCAAATTTATGAACCCAAATGGCTATTTCAACAACTATTGCCACTGAAATCAAAACAATTTGACTTGAAGTTGAAGGTTTGACGAATTTGGAGATCCAGAGTGGAGGCTCTCCAGATGAATGTTTCTATAAAGACGAGTTCTATCAGAACTCACCTCTTTGCTGAAATGGATATGTTCTCAATCAATACAGGCAAGAACATCTTTCATTTATATAATGCCACTTTTGTAAAGAATGCTTCAAAACACTTAAGAGTGATGGAAACTGAACAAGAAGTGAGAGCAGTTTAGAAATGAGAAAGGGCATAATCAAAGTGATGAGTCATCGCAGATTTTTGAAAGCAAGGATATAAATACAAAAGTGAAGTGGCTTTTAAAGTTTTCCAGAAGTTCAGTTCACTGGGTATGAGTCAAAGTGTAGTAACTGTATTTGTAGGCAAATGTGGCAGCTAATTTATAGACGTTATGGTCAAGAAACAGCCATGAAGTAAATGCCCAATTATCTGGAGAAATTCCTATTCTTTCCAAACAGTGCCAGTGTAGTCAGCTGTACACAGTGAATGGGGGAGGGGGAGGCACCATATAATAACCAAATGCATGTTAGAAATAAAGTACTGAGGATAGTAATCTATTTTGTCCTTAACAGTTAAAATTTGAATTCATTTATCATCTGCAGGATGTCACCTCTGAAAATGCAGCACTCCAGAGTACTACAGTAGAGCATAAAAAGTAGTATTATATAAATGAAAGATGTTCTTGCCTGTATTGATTGAGAACATATCCATTTCAGCAAAGAGGTGAGTTCTGATAGAAGCAGCCATTCGTCTTTATAGAAACATGACTGTAAGCTCAGCATCTCAACACAAAGCTTGAACCTACAGCTTTGTGACCCAGAACCAAGAGTGCTAGGTGATGAGTTAGGCTGAGGTAAGGTAGTAAAATGTTTATGATCTTATTAGAGCTGAAATTTCAAGCTATGAATACAAGGAAACTGTGTACAGATTAGCACTTTTCAAAAATTAAAATAGTTCATCCTTCAAATGAGATGATAAATCAAGCTCCCATCTGCTTTGAGATGTCTCGACAAAATGATGACACTATATCAAATGCAAAAATTATAACCAAGACACAGATTTAGTTTACCAACTTAATTAGTTTTCACCCCTCTGAATTAATCAATCACCAACAGAGATAATACTGTAAAAAAAACTTCATAGCCAGGTTACAAACATGCATCAGAAAGGTACACTTTAATGGCAATAAATCGGATATAAAATAATGAAAACAAAGATTAAAAAACAACAAACCTCCACTCCATGTCTAAATCTTCACTCATGCTCGAATCATCTTCAAGGTTGTTGTTACCATCCAAAATTACAAGCCCTGAATGCACAAATGGACCCAGGCCTTCAGCCTCATCAGCACTGCTACTGCTACCATCACTGTCTTCATTGTAGGTTACCCAAGGAATTTCTCCTTCTTCCAACGAGGTCTGTTCTCTAAATATATGAAACATAGTAACTGGACATAAACATGGAAACTAGAAACTTGACTCATAGCACAGCAATGGGTTGGCGGCTTTCAGAAAGGCAGGCAGAAATTAATGCTGGGCATCATTATTTGTGAAATTTCTTTCAACAAAGTGTTGGAAAATATTTTAAACAGGCTATGACAACTATTATATTCTAGAAATTTAAATAATTATCACATGATTTTAGGTTTTATTCAATTTTGCAGAAAGATCCTTTAAAAAAAGATGAATGAGAAACACAAAAGTTCACTGAAGAACCTTCAAGAAAGAAGAGCAAATTAGAGGGAATAAGGGAGAACTAAAATTCCTGAGCCATAGTTGACTAGATGCAAGCATTGGTTATTAACCATAAAACACTTTTTTCCAAATCAACTTAATTATCATTGTACAAATGCATTGCATTTACTAAAGGTTTAATTTCCAATTAGCACTCAATTATGCTTCTTCTGCAATGAACAACCAAAAGGAAAAAACGATATTCACTCAGTCAATCACTTTGACATTTTTCAGTGCCATCAATGAAGCAATCCTGTAGTGCAGCAGGTGAGTGCACTATAACTGGAGAAAATAGTAGAGTAGCATGGGCCATATCCTGGCGTGATCCTGAGCTCCCTGGCGCTGGGAGAAAATAGGTCTCTTTCACCCTTAAGAAAAGCATATAATCAATGTTATATGCTTCAAACTAAATACTGTTATACTGTTTTAAAAGTATAAATTAGCATCAGATCACTAAGGCTACTGTCATCCTACTTCTTTCTTACTTACTCAGCTGGAACAAAAATAAATTCAAGGATGTTGGATTGGTTGACAGAATACGACCAGTAAGAGGCCAGTGGCAATTAAACTGCAGTTGAAGTCACATTCTCTTATAATAACCTTATATTGATAAGTTAGTGTTTGTGGACAACAAATAATAAGTTTGTGTTCAAAATTATCAGAGGTTTTGATGAAGGGGCATAGAGTGAAAGTATTTCCACTGGTTGGTGAATTAATACTATAATATCTTATACAGTAAAACAAAACTAGACAAAGATTTGAAAAAGGAAATATATCAAAGGTTAAGTGCAAAAGGAAATGGGACTAAAAGTATAACTCTTATTGAAAGCTGGCCCAGGCACGATGGCTGAAGTCTTCTCCCTGGTGTAAAGTTCTATGATTCTACTACTATATTACTGTAGTTAGATCGTCCAGTGCAGTTTCCTGTTACAAACCAATGCACTGTATCACAGAGGTGTAGATTTGTTTAGGAATCAGCTACATCTTGTTTTTTGTTAAATAAATTACAAATAGCAATTAGTCAAAATTGTTTTGAATTAATATACAGTAATGTTAAATGTTAAGGTTAGATTAAATCCAATGTCTTCAGTTGCAACTAGTTCACATACCCTGCATTGAACCAGTGTTTAAAAGACTCATCATCCAGGCTGCTGCTAGTGCTGATTATTTCAGTCTGTAGTTCATCAGCTCCCGGTAAAGTCTCCCAGCTCTCGTCACTGGACGATTGTGCTTGCTCTAAAGCAAAATCAGGGGTCCATATTGACGACAATTCCCCATCACTGCATTCAGAACTGCTTTTTAAGAGGAATGGAAAGTGAAGGGTAGAAAGTTAAGGTGCAGGCTGTGCTAAATACAACTTGCTTTCAGTTTGGTTCATATAAAAAAAATGCTCTTATACAATTAACTTAATTTTAAAAAAATACCAGCAATAAAAGATAGTATAGTTTTAGTTAAACTCTTAAGATGTGGGAAAACAAAATTCAGAAGAATTTGGGGTTAGTGCACATTTTTTTAAATAAGACATGCCTGAAATGCAAAATTATATAAAAAAAATTAAAACTAAACACGTTGTTACCTCTCTTCATCTTTGTTACAATCAGTGAATCCAAGACAATCATTTTCAATCTCCTCCCAGAAGTTGTTTTCACATGAAGTATTTTTAGACTCCTCTTGTAGTTGGGTGGTGGTCTGTTTATTCACATTAACGTCAATTTTCATCCCATCAGATCCAGACTCCCAGGATCTAACCTTTGAATCACTATTCCTGCAATTCCCAAAGGCACAATTTGATCCACAACACTCAATGTCAGTTGCTACTTGTCTTACACTATAGCCATATTCCACATCATCAGGTGGATGGAGATTTTGTTTAGATTGGCTTTCAATTTTTTTACTTCTAACTTTTGGTCTTACCACCATTTCTGAGGAACTTGCTTGCTCTGTCTTACAACAGAACCCTATTTCTGATGAACTTGGTTGCTCTGTCTTACTACAGTAAACATCTCCTTCATCCTCAAAAACCATTGAGGCCTTATCAGGTTTGCTGTCTTTTTTAACCTCAATATCAACATATCCATTTTCTTCCATGCTTCTTATTGCTAATGTTTTTTTGTTCTCTGCCAATTCAGCATATTGTTGTTCAACACTGGGACTTGTATTGGACAGATTGTCTAATGACACTGAGCATGGCTGCTCAATTTGCTGACTGTTGCCATCATGAATCACAGCAGAGAGATATGATTGAAGCCCACTGAGATAATCAACGTCTTTCTCTAACTCTGAAAGTATGGTATCCAACCTTCTACTTAATCTTCCTTCTTCTTGCAATGAAAAATGTATAGCTGAGTCATCATCCTCTCCTTCGCTGCTGCCCGGATGATGAGAATCAATATTCAAATTAATTCCAGTCTTACTTTTGGGATCAGTTTTAAAATGGTCGCTGGGAAGAGACCATCTGGAGCTTTCTGTACTTCTGGTAGCTGAATAATTGCCTAATGTCTCTGTAGCACCAGGTAAAGCAAAGTCATTAGCCTCACACTGAAAGAATCTTCTGTTCAATGGCAGAAACCGGCTGTCTTTTTGAGGTTCGCAAACTTCCCTCTTAGTCTCTACAGTTAGATCATATACATCACTTTGTGGCAGCAGTTCATTATCCGATATGATTCCATTGGAACCTACAAAGAGAATTAAAAAAATGTTTACATCTCAAGTAACTTGAAATTTAGCACTGTAACAACGAATCAATGCAGTTAAAATGGCCAATAATTTACCTGAAACAATATTGTATGAACTATTTAAGATTTATTAAATAGAACATAGCCTAGTTCATGTACTTGCTTGCCAGGACTACCCTAGATTATATTAGAATTCATATATATATTGTGTTAACATGGCATGAAAATTGCAATATTGTGTGCAAATTCAAGTATCATTGAGAAAAATGACCAGTCGATAACTATGACTGGTCCACAGGACCGTGTGGATTTCTTTCCTCCTCGATAATGATGGCACATAGAAGCACACTGCATTTGACTGATTCCAGCTAAATCAAATCAACTAAACCAAAGAAACAAATTAAGAAATTTATGTACCAATAACAATAAGTCACTGCAAGACATAAGTGGTTTTTGAGCACATCTATTGTGAAAGATGTCAGGAGACCCCTTCAGCACACCCACAGAGCAGTTAATGTATTCGCTATTGACTGGTCACTTTCTCAGCAACATTTTAATTATCACACAACAAATATTTCAAAAGGAATCATGCTAGTGATATTTTTAAATAATTACATTGTATTAACAGAAATGCTTCACAAACTGCACAATATTCATTTATATTTGCATGTGCTTCTGTATGTTGTAAGTACTGTGGTTAAAAAACACACCTTTAAACACACTCATAGCTCTGCCACGCCAGATCAATTCTTGGTTGGGTTTAAGCAATATACAAATCAGCTTGCTACACTGGAACAATGAAAGCTACATTCACAGCAACTTCACATAACATTATTATTTTAGATATATTAAGTAGAATTCTACCAAAACCTAAATACCCACATTGAAATACGTCTGCCAGTAACGTATTTAAAATAAAGTGGAAGACTCTAGGTTTACACTGCAATTTGCTACAGAGTTTCTCATCAGCCATATCACAAAAGACTCATCCAAAGGTTTGGCCTGAAAATCCAAAGGTTAAACCCCCCCAGCCTACAAAAGCAGAATGGTACTGGTAAAATGCCTGAGAACATTTTTTTTCAATTTTGTTGTCCTATAACCAAAAGGGACAAGCATAGGCTCCCATCATTTTATTCCTTTTACACTAACCAAGGTGAGCTCTCTTCAGGTCCCAATTTTAAATACAGCAGATTTTACATCTCTAACCTATTGAAGCCTTGAAAGCCGTTCAAGTGGAGTAGCTCAGAAATAGGTATGAACATTAATAAGAAAATAGATTGCTAAATTTGTTGCAACACCAACCATTATTCACCAATCATTATTCGTCATAGTTATACACCACATTAACAAAGTCTGTGTCGCTGAACACTAGAAAAAATTTGTTCACAAAACAGGTAATTACAAAATCCAATAAATTCTCATCTCTCAATCGTCGCTAGATTTGTCTCCCTTAGGAGGTAGATTAACACCATTTACTCATATGAATCCGTGTGGCATAGACTCCAGATTTCTTAACAGGACATTAAATCAGTCTCCCTTTACCTAATTTCCAAATTCAAATCCAAAATCTCAATCAATTGAGCAAAACGCTCAAACACTACAATACGGCACATAGATCTGGAACCATAATTTCAAACATAGCGAGTTCCTCATTTCAACCACGTCACTGCTGCCAGATTCAAAATAAGGATCAAGTACTCACACACAAAACATGGGGTGAGGAAATTTATAAGAACCAATAATGCTATTAAACATCTACATCCAAATATCTAAAAGGAACATTTCACTGGTTTTATAGAAGATGGGGTAGCCATGTATAAGACATGTGTGATGGGCAATTCAGCCAGTTATGAATATACACTCAGGACTGATGGAGTAGGAAATCGCTAAAGTCCATAGGTGAAATAGAGCTTCCTATTGCCCTCAGGTCATTTAATGAGAACCAATGTTATATATTGTCAAACATTTCATGCTCCAGATTTTCAACACTTTTGAGAGCCTTGAAAAGGATTATATTTAAGGATGTAACGCATATTAAATGACACAACACACATAAACCATTGTCTTTTGAGACACTGTCTAGCTCCATTCCTTCCCATTTGTGTTCATTTTCTCTTGACTCATTCCATTGCTTGACAGTGGAGGGACGAAAGCTGACATAAGCGTGCCTTCTCCCGTATCTTCTCCCAGTGATAGTCTGATAACCTCCTGCTGGTTTGGGCCAGGCTGCCTTTCCAGACTCCTGACCCATTACTGCAAAATAGAAAAATGAAAGCAAGTAAATACCATCAGCTCTAACATTTTTTTCTGGGGCTGTTTCACAATGGCATTCCATAGGAGTCAGACATTCAAAAATAGAAGTATAAACTTGAGTTATAAATTTCTGAGTGCCACAAATTTATAGTAGCAAACAACAGTTACATTTTATTCACGAGTTTGGACTTGCCACTAAAAAAACATGATGAAATGTTTCATTGATCACTTGGAAGTATAAAACTACCCATCTTTACTTCATGCCAATATAAAAAATGATCACCAGACTGAGTGTTCAGAGTCCATATATTCCACCAAATATTAATATAGCTTTTGCTTTTACTTTTTACTGTGGCGCCATTTGAAATTGGATTTTGAAGAAAAAAAAATGTCACGATGAAGGATAGATTCCACATCAACTCCTATCAGGGTTTCTCAATTGCAGTCACCGTCATTTTAATATATTAAACCACTGCAGAACTTCACAATGAAGACAGGATACATTTGTTTGTATGGTCAAAAATAAGAAGATTACAAGAGAGGTTTTCATTAAAAAGGCCATATGGTCTATTTGATCGTATCCTTCCAGAATACCCAAGTCCCAGTGCAACATCAATCTTCTTTTCTCCCAAACAATGTTATAAAAAAATCCTAGTCTCCACACTTAGGGTAGCGCTCCGAGATGCTAGTATGCTTGAAGGCTGCTATATAAATGCAAGTTGTTGTTGTAGATCATTTTTCCGTTAACTCTTCAATAGATAATGATCCTCTGTTAAATAAATACTTCTATGCTGATGACAAGGTTTTTTTCTTACATGAGGATGTATGGCCTGAGTTTATGCCCTCATTGCTTGCTGGCTTGGCATACTTAAAAGTATTGTTCTGGGTTTATTTTCTCAATCCTACTGTATTCCTCAATAAGGTCCACTCTCAGGCATCTTTTTGCAAGGCTGAAGAATGATTTGCTTATCTAATACTGGTAGTTTCTCATAGAGCCTCGGATACTACCTGCAGAACCATCTTCTATCCATATGAAACGGTCCGCAAGGTCAATAGCTACTGAGCAGCTTTCAAGATGCACTGCATGAATGGGGGGGAGGGTTGCATTTGTTAGGAGTTCAAGGACCCTGAATGCAGTATGTATCAGACTACTGAAGATCTGATAATAGGATTTGAATAGGTTGCCAGAATCTTCCCCACAATGTGGAAAATGCTGGTGTTTAGGTCAAAAGCCTGAACATGCTGGGCAAAATCAATGCCTTCTGCTTTGCACACATTCTAAGCTCAACGTCAGATTTTCAGAAATAAATAAGTTTCAGAAAAGTCCATCTGCCAAAAAAAAGTCCTTCAATTGTAGATCGATAAATAAATAGTTGCTAAAACACTTTATTGAATAAAGAGACATTCTCCCCAATTTCAGATCAGAACAAAGACTGCTGCCTCCATATCCCAATTGAAGGTAGAATTTACAAGTGCACAAATCGGCATGCAGATTCAAAAGGTTACACACATCAATTGAAAAAGAATAAAAAATGAATTCCCAAATGCACATGAAAATAATTGAACTTAATAAACTACTAAAGAAAAAAACAATAGCACAATATGCAAGACGGGGAAGAAAGTGTTCTGCATGTAGATTAGGAGAATGAAGTCATAGAGTGGAGAATGAAAGCAGTCCAGTATTGATTTGAAATTCTGTAGTTTTCAACTCAAGGACAGGGCAGAAGTGAGCAGAAATACATTACAAATACCAATCTAAACTACAAAACTCAAAACAACTATGCATCTCTTTTAAAATGAGTATATTGCATCTTCAATAGTACTTTGAACAATAAAACTGACAAATGGGACAATGTATAATTTATCAGGTGATTACCAATTAGGATTATCTAGTATGTGGGGGAAAGGGGTAAAATGATAAAGAAATGATGAATAAATGCAAAGATTTGGTGATTCATTAAATAATTAAACGATTGCTGCGTCATTGATGGGATCAAAAAAAAATCAAAACCACGACTGTTTGTGGGACACTGCTGTGTGCAATTGCATAAGGTGTGGCTAACAATGAAACAGGCTATTCGGACACTAGATTGTTTTTCAACAATCTGATTGTTACAACAATCTGATGTTGTAATGGAGAATATAAGAGTTGGAATTCTGAATGGATATTAAATTGGCCAAGACCTTCTTCACCTGAAGCTTTCTTCTGAACAATATCTTGGATGAGTTTCCACACAGCATTCAAAGATTGAAAAAAAATGCTGAATTCTACGTGAACCTCAATGTTCATATGTAAAACTCAATGCACCACAGAAATGCTTCTCATCACTGTCTGCAGATTTTTATAACTGTATTGATCTAGTGAAGCAGAATCATTTACATCGGGATCCAATATTTATTGCCCAAAGCAGAAATCATTCTGGTAGAAAGAAAAATATTGACATATTGTTGTTCGTTTTAAATGCACATAAACCCGTTTCTGACATTTATCAGAATTCCTGCTAACTAAAAATAATTGTATGTGCATGTTTTGTCATGGACAATGCTCACAGCAATCCCTTACGACTTCAGATTAGCTTTGTCTTCGAGTAATGATCAAGCTTGGCTGCTTCAAGCAGTTCTGCCAGCTTTCTCAGAACATTCACAAGTTGGAGTGAAACATGCTAAATAAAGTGCTGTTCAACCACACTGGAGAGATACTAAGTTCAGATGATGGTAGCTGAAAAATAAATGCAATTTCTCACGAGCCTTTCATCATTAAATTTTATATCATTATAAAATGAGACTTCATAAATTCTCCCCAAATAAGTATGTTATTTCAATGTTTTATGAGGTCCTCCAGCACAGAAATCACCAGACAACAACAAAAAAATTACATTTATAGAGCGCCTTTCACGTCGGGGAGATGTCCAAAGCGCTGAACAGTCAGCTGTCGGGGCCCGAGCATGTGGGAGGGATGGTGTAGGGGTGAGGGAAGGCAGAGAGGTGGGAGGGAGACCAAAGGCACGATCGAAGAAGGATCTTGAGACCGGCCTTGAAGGATGCGAGGGAGGAAGCGAGCGAAGGGACCGTGGGATGGAGTTCCAGAGTGTGGGGGCAGAGAGACTGAAAGCCCGGCCACCAGAGGACAATTAAGAAAAAAATTGGGGGAAAAACACCACACTTCACTACCATCCATCATTACCTGAATGGGAGAATTAAGGATAGATATGTTGTGCAGTGTAATGTTAGTTTTAACCTTTTAAATTCAGTACAGAAATTGTGTTATTTTTTCAGAACAACTAAATGTAGCATCCAGCACATAAGGAAATAATTTTCATCTACAACTTTAAGTTTGGAAAATACAATGCCCATACAAACCTTTCTAAACACTTGAATCCCTACCATGTGTCTTTGATTCCTCATAAGAGCCCAGAACACAGGTCAGAACTGAAAAACAAAAACACACCATATCCATCAATGGTAGGACATTAGACTGCTTAATGAAGACTAACTTAATCAATTCAATTTGAAAATATTAGCCAAATCTTTGAAGTTGACAAAAATATAAGACTGCAGCACTCACAATTCTGAAAAGGTGATTGTAATTGTGCTGGGGAAGAAGGGTGAATGAAATCCTCCAAGATTCTTGACCACTAACCCGTTAAAAAGCCATGCATGTGGTTTTGCAGCGTTCCAAATGCCAAATACTCTTTTGCCCAGAATACCAATTTATCAATATCACACATAATTGTGAAAAATTCTTTAATTCAGTCTTAATTTTGCCCACAAAATATATTGTCAATTCACTTTACAGTACATTCTGTGAAGAGCTTTGAGACGTCTTGAAGACGTGATAAGGCTCTATATCAAATGCAAGGATTATTATTTATTATTAATTTGGATTCTGGATTCTTTTTAAGGCATCCACAATTGCTCTTGCAACATTTTTAAGCTTATTTTGCATCGTGTTGCATGCATGCGCTGAAAATCACGCTGAAAGCCAAAGTTTACTTCCAGTAACTCCAGGTATGCAGGAGACAATCGTTAAACGCAAACTTCTGCTATAATACTGTGCTCAATAACAGGGTCACCCTATATTGTGCCTGTGGAACATTCGATCATCTTTGTCTACAAGAATCTCTGTGACCTGAATTATATTACCAGAAATGTACCCAACTCTTCCCCCACAACATCAAATATCTCTGCTCAATAGTGAGGTTTACTACTCAGTAGTTTTTTTAATCTGTTGCCTTATTTGATGCTCAATATTTTAAATCTATGCTCATATTCAAAGCACCTACTTACACCTATCCATCTATCCTTTGTTATTTTGTTGCATTCCTCTTCTTCCTCCTGAAGCTGTCGGGATATTGTTCTGTCAGTGCCTTGGGACATCCTCCCGACATGAAAGGTGCTATACAAATGTAACTTGTTGTTATTTGTTGTTGTTGTCCTGATTAAGTACTCCCAGGTGTAGACCTAATATTGCTATACGCCATCCCAACAATATTCTTGAAGGTGTGCATGAAAAGAAATTTTGAGACAAGTGTCAGAATGGGGGTCTATTGGCTAAAAGGTCAATGGTCGAAGAGGAGGGTCTTGAGGCGGGACTTGAAGGAGGCTAAAGAGGGAGCGAGGCAGAGTAATTGGGGGATGGAATTCCAGAAGTTGAGGGCAGAGTGGCTGAAGGCTCTCCCGCCAATGGTGGGTGGGTCGGGGGACGTGGAGCAGGCTGGAGCCGGCTGAGCAGAGGGAGCGGTTGGGTTGGTAGGGGTTTAAGAGGTCGCAGAGGTAGGGTGGGATGAGGCCATGGAGGGCTTTGTAGGTGAGGACCTGGATCTTGAACTGGATCCTCTGAAGGATAGGGAGCCAATGGAGTCGGGTGAGAGTGGGGGAGATGGGGTCACGGAGTTTGGTGCGGGAGAGGACACGGGCTACAGAGTTCTGGATTATCTGCAGCCTGTGGAGGGAGGAGTTGGGAAGGCCGACAAGCAGGGAGTTTGCATAGTCGAGCCTGGAGGTGATGAAGGCATGAACAAGAGTTTCAGCGGCCTGAGGTAGTGGCGGAGTCGGGCGATGTTACGGAGGTGAGGGAAGGCAGAGAGGGTCATGGCTTGGATGAGGGGTATAGCACTTTTCATGTCAGGAGGAAGTCCCATAGCACTTCACAGTGACTGCACTTCATAACACAGCAACCAATTTGCATACAGTAATGTTCCACATACAGCCAATTTTATTTGGGGGATTGTTGACCAGGACACTGAGGGAAACTCCCTTCTTTCAAATAATGCCATAGGATCTTTAAAGTCCATGTGAACAGACAGATGAAGCCTTGATTTAACATCTTATCTGAAGAGCAGCACACAATAGCCCTGCATTGTTGTGTCAGTTTAGACTATATGATCTCCAAGTCCTGATATGTTACATGAAGCCATAACATTCTGGCCCAGAGACGAAAGTACAACCAACCGAGCCAGCCCGACACGCACAAGATTCATACAAGGCCAGCTGACATTAATTTTAGAGAGAACTCCCTGTCTTGATGGAGATATTTAAATATGATCAGAGAGCAGTACAATACACAATATAACATATAATAGCACAAAATTGAAAAGCAAAAATATCTTATATCTGCACTTAATCCCAAACCACAAACACAATTATTAAACAGCAAAAAAAATTTTTAACTACTATAATTTCAGCCCCATAGTTTTCAGAACACAATTGTAGCACAGTAAATTGCAACAAAAGGTCACTGGAAAGCCTAAGGCTTTCTGGTAGGTATTTTACTCTGGAGACAGCTTTAATAGCTACCTTAACCACTGTTTTACCACTGACCTTTCGTGGTCATTCAAACTTCTCCTTATCATGCAAGGACAGATTACATGTTACATAATTCAAAGCAGCAAGTTTAGGATTGTAAATGGTAAATTGAGGGTATCTCCCAGGGCATTCTTTAACATATAAGGTGGTGGGAAAATCAATATCAGCAATTCCCTGGGAGCAATTTCGAAATTTCCCACCAGTAAGTTTCCCTTCCATAATATGAATGGTAATGGCGATTACCCCAGCAGTTGCTAAGCGGTCACCGTTTCGGCAGATTTTACAGAATTTTTAGGCACATTTTGCAGAATATTATTTGATAATTAAAGGCATTGGATAATTATTACTTATTGATTCCCGCTTTCAGATTATTTCCACCATCCTAAAGTTTGAAACACGTACATGAAGCGTATGGAAGTGCGGCAGTCTGTTTTTAATGCTTCTGAAGGTGAGGTTAAAAGGCCCCTTTCACTTCAGTCCCCACCAGTGACAATTCCTTAAAAAAAATGCCTTGGCGCCTCCGGAAATTATTTCTTCAAATAGATGATGTACAATAGCTGGACCTGGTTACAGAAGCGATGTGGGGGGAGGGGGGGGGGTAAGGATGTTGACACATTTAACAAATGGTTTGCTGTTGTTGTTGTTGTTTGGGAAGACTGTGGACTGTGGAAAAAGATCAAATGGGGCCTTCTATACCCAAACCTCCCGTGAGCTCTCAACGGGATTAAAGATGCCTCGCAGAGCAGGTGACCATCACTCCTCTGCCTCTCATTTCAGAAGCAACGCAGACTGTGCGGTGGATACAACTTTCTTCTCTGATTTCCGGAAGGTCGTGACGACAGCGAAGATAAATTATTACCTCAAATCGCATGAATGAATGCAGCCAAATGCATCCATCGAACCGAACCCACTCAACAGCGTTTAAACACAATAACACGGTTCCTCGGGTCAAAACAGATCAGCACAAATCACGACAAAGTCTCTCGAAAACATACATACAGCAACGAGCGGCGGGGGGTCAGCCCACACCCCTTCCCGTCCCTCCCCGGTCACGCTCAGGCTTCAAGTAACGCGAAGCATCTCCCGGGCCGGTGCACGGGCAGGAAGCGGCGCCGAGAGCCGGGGTCCGCGAGTCAGGCTAGTGGGCGAGGGCACGGCTTGCGAGGAGCATGTCTGGGGGTCGGGTCGGGTCAGGCTGCTCGGGGGGGGCTGGCGAGGGGCCCGTCTGTCGGTCAGCCTGTGTGCATCGGCCTATCAGCGTGGGGCTGGGCTGGGCTGGGAGGCTGTGGTTCAGCCCGGCTATGGGGCCTGTGTGTGTGTGGCTGTCTCGGGCTGGCGGGCGGGTGTCGGGGTTGGTGTGTGGGTGTGTGTCGGGGTTGGTGTGCGGGTGTGTGTGTGTGTGCGGCTGTGGGGCGCTCCCCTCCCCCTCCTTCACTCACCCGGACTCCGGTGGCGCTCACGAGGCCGCAATAAATAGTGACGTCACTGAGGCGCGGCCTCCGACCAATCAGCGCCGGCCGGACCGGAGCGTGCGCGCAGCTGACCAATAGGCAGCCGGCAGGAGGGGGCGGGGCTAGAGAGGGGCGGTGCTACAGCGGGGGCGGAGCTCTCGGGGCGGGGCTGTAAACAAAACCACGTGGTTAGCTCCTTTCCCTCTGTGTGTGGAGGCTGTCTGCGGCCCTGACTGCCTGAGCGGCCACACCCCCCCCGCCCAGCTCCCCCCCCGCCCAGCTCCCCCCGCCCCCCCCCCCGCCCCGCCCAGCTCCCCCCCCCCCCCCCGCCCAGCTCCCCCCCGCCCCGCCCAGCTCCCCCCCCCCGCCCAGCTCCCCCCCCCCCCCCCCCCCGCCCCGCCCAGCTCCCCCCCCCGCCCAGCTCCCCCCCCGCCCAGCCCCCCCCCCCCCCCCCGCCCCGCCCAGCCCCCCCCCCCCCCCCCCCCCGCCCCCCCCCCCGCCCCCGCCCAGCTCCCCCCCCCCCGCCCGCCCCCCCCCCCCCCCCCCCCCCGCCCAGCTCCCCCCCCCCCCCCCGCCCAGCTCCCCCCCCGCCCCGCCCAGCTCCCCCCCCCCCCCCCGCCCCCCCCCCCCCGCCCCGCCCAGCTCCCCCCCCCCCCCCGCCCAGCTCCCCCCCCCCCCCGCCCAGCTCCCCCCCCCCGCCCAGCTCCCCCCCCGCCCCGCCCAGCTCCCCCCCCCCGCCCAGCTCCCCCCCCCCCCCCCCCGCCCCCCCCCCCCGCCCCCCCCCCCCCCCGCCCCCCCCCCCCGCCCCCCCCCCCCCGCCCCGCCCAGCTCCCCCCCCGCCCCCCCCCCCGCCCCCCCCCCCCCCCGCCCAGCTCCCCCCCCGCCCCCCCCCCCCCCCCCGCCCAGCTCCCCCCCCCCCCGCCCAGCTCCCCCCCCGCCCCCGCCCAGCTCCCCCCCCGCCCCGCCCAGCTCCCCCCCCCCCGCCCAGCTCCCCCCCCCCCCGCCCAGCTCCCCCCCCCCCGCCCAGCTCCCCCCCCCCCCCGCCCAGCTCCCCCCCCCCCCCCCCGCCCAGCTCCCCCCCCGCCCACTCCCCCCCCCCCGCCCACTCCCCCCCCCCGCCCAGCTCCCCCCCCCCCCCCGCCCAGCTCCCCCCCCCCGCCCAGCTCCCCCCCCCCGCCCCCCGCCCCGCCCAGCTCCACCCCCCGCCCAGCTCCACCCCCCGCCCGCCCGCCCAGCTCCCCCCCCCCTGAGCAGGGGCCTGGGATCAGGAAGGGGTGGAGGGTAGGGATGGTAGGAGGGTGGCTGTCTCGGGCTGGGTGGGTGGGTGTCTTCTCCACCACCAACCGGCTCCTCCGACCTCCCCGACACGCCTCGCAGATACCTTCCTCTGACTCTCACTGCGAGAAAATGCTGGACTTCCTCCAGTCCAAAATCGAGGGAATCCGCTCAGCTGCCACTGCCCTCCCAACTTCCACCCCCTCCCTCGCCCCACCCCACACAATTACCCATCCGACAATTACCCATCTCTCCTTCCACACCTTTGAACCTGTCACTGCCTCCTCTTGTCTTCAAAACGGTAACCTCCACAGTAACTTCCATGAAGCCCACCACCTGTTCTCTGGATCCCATTCAAAGAGCTTCACAAAAGCATCAAACCTTCAGGTAAAACAACAATTTTATAAACAAACCTCCTGTAATACAATATATTCTGCTAATGTAGGTTATGAACTGGAATTCTTTCTATTTTTACAGTTATCCTATGTGGAATTTTGCCCAATTTTATCAGTGGTATCCCATATACCATCATTATTAATTCCTACAGGGACAAACAAATTTAACAAGCCGAGAGGTGTGTAGGGTCTGGGTTCGTGATTCTGCTGTCCGCACCCAGTATTACAATTTGCTCTCAACTCACAGTTCCCACCAGGTCAGGTATTCGTGGTATCCCTGGACTACAGTTTCTAAGGTGCCCCATTCCTCAGCCCTTTTCTGCACTGCCCTTACCTGGCTTTGTAGCTGTGCCTCAGATCTTCATTGTTCTCGCCAGTTCTGCTCTGCAAAGCTATAGGACTATAGGACCAGTTCGTGGTTGCAATCCAGTGGGAAGAGTTTGGCCTGATGGTTTAAGCTGTGTGCATTGCCCACTTTCAGGTACACTTTTAAAGCTCCCTCAGGGTTTAGTGTGACACCACATTTGCCAGATAGTCTATTACATCATACAGTAAATATCACCCCCCATGACTTCCAGTTTGCTGAGGCTTAGCACTGCCTTGTACATGTTTCCTATAATGTATCTAATTTCTAAATTACATTTGACAAAGTACTACATGAAAGACTTCACAAACTGTGAACAGTCAAAGGCAAGACATAGACATGGTTTCAGAACTGGCTGAAAGGAAGGAAGGAAAGAGTCTTTGTTAAGGGAGTTAGGCTAAAACGAGTGGGTGGGTGGGGTGGGGGGTTATCAAGCAGGGTGGTCTTTACTGGGGCCCAGGCTGCTCCTTCCATATATCAAGCATCTGGATTCTCATGTCCAGTGTCAGGTAGATAAATTTGCAGACAACACCCAGCAGAATATCACTCCCAGATTTGCAGTTTCCTGATGTGGACTCTTTTTTTAAAAAAAGCTTGATGCTGGATGGAGGACAGTGATGTGGGTATTTTGGAGGGATGAGATCAGATGGGCCAAAGGGCCTTCTTCAGCTGAATTAATCATGATCTTATGATATTGATTGTTTTTTTCCTATTGAAAGAAAGATAGTGTATGGTGGACTGTTTTATGGCAGGCTTTAGTATCCAGTCTTGTTTTATATGGTCCATTAGTTAAATGTGTTTTTTGTTTACTTAGAGTGATGAATCATTTGGGATGTAGATTGGATTGCCTTGATTGGGAATTCAAACCCAATTATTTCTGTTTTCTACCAGATGTTGGATGTGTACAGCATTCTACCATTTGACAACCCAGATGGTGGAGTCTGGAAACAAGGCTTTGACATCAGTTATGATGAACATGAATGGGACAATGGGCCACTACAGGTTTTTGTAGTGCCCCATTCACACAATGATCCAGGTAAGGAAATAAACATTTCAAAGAATTTTAATCTATTTAATCAATTACATGATTTGCAAATACAGAATGATATAAATTTACAACACAGAAGGAGGCCATTTGGCCCATCGAGTCTGCAAATACTCTCAAAAGCAAGGTATTCATTTAATCTCATTTCCTCCCCTCTATCCTCTATATTCCTTTAATTCTCCAACTTTCATATATACTCGTCTACTTCCCTCTTGAAACCCATAATGGATTGTGCCTGTACCAGCTTCCCAAAACATCGAAAAACTCTATGTGAAAATATCCTTTCTCTATGTCTTCTAGTCATAATTTCCCTTTGGAAAATTAATGATAATACCGTTTAGGTTGTATTTATGCTCTTACTGAAAAGTGATTTGTTGTATGTTATGTTCAAAATATAATAGAATATATTTGTTGAATGCAACACCTAGAGGAAAAACATAGGATAATTTCTTAATGTCACAACCATTCCAATGAGTTATTATGTGCATTTGTAGTGTATTATTATATAAAGTACAAAGTGCATTTGTATTGTATGTGGAGTCCTGTAGCTTAGTGGCTAGCGTGCTCGCCTCACAACTGAGAGGACTGGGATTCCTTGGCAGGGAGAAATGTTAGGCAAGTATCCTATTTATCTAGCAGTAAATAGGAACCCGGTTGTTAGTCGATTGGTGGGGATAATAATTCCTTAAAAAAAATTTGGTCACTCAATCCACGATTATTTGTGGGACTCTGCTATGCACAATTGGCTGCTGCGTTTTGCCCACAAAGTATACAATCAATTGACTTAACAGTATATTCTGTGAAGCACTTTGAGACGTCTTGTAGATGTGATAAAGAGCTATATCAAATGCAAGGATTATTATAAAATGTTAAATTGGACCCCAACTTTAATAAATTCTGAGGAAATATAGCAAACCTAGAGGGACTGGGCCAAAGTGGCCTTTATATAAGGGTGGCCTCTGAGTGAGGGTTCATTGGTGTGCAAGCTGGGCTGTTGCAGGGTTGGGACGTCCTCCTGATGTGAAAGGCGCTTTATAAATGGAATCTTGTTGTTGTTGTTGTTGTTAACAGGAGGTGGTTGCTGATTGTAGGTGGTCGCTTTAATCTGTTTGACTATAATTTGAATTATTAATTGGAATAAATGCTGAAATTTCATTCAAAATAGTAGGTTAATTGAAACAGTATTTTTTTGAAGGCTTACAGTACTGATATAGTCTATCATTTAAGTCCAGTAACTATAAAGTGCTGGTAATTTTATTGTATCTTAGATGCTGTTAGATCAATTGAGTATTTTAGGAGTCAACTTTGCCACCACATCTGCCTTTCCTTATGATTTTTGAAAGTGCCAGAAAGTATGCCAATTTGTTTCTTGGGTACACCTTGCAACTTGATTCTGGCTCTGAGCAAGTATATGGAGTTGGTGTACTGTATTTATTAATGGAGGACCCACCTTTCCTTTTTTGGCATAGGATAAGCATATCTTAGAGCCCAAGTGTTTGAATTTCAGTTGTCTGACAAGATGTCAGTGCCATTTCCTTTGCCATAATTTTCCTGTTTCTCTTTGATCAAATGTGGCTTGGAGCATTTTACTGTTTTATATTTGTGTTGCTGCCACTGTTTGGAGTTTGGTTGCCCAAAGGACGCAGCATTCATCTACTAGGGCCTGTGATTAGAGCAGAATGACCTAAGAGAACAAGTTTCTCAAATAGAAAGTTTCTCGGGCGATAATTTATTTCCTCCCATGGGATAACAGCAGAGGATATTTATCTTGACAGGACATGATCAAATAACACATCTAAAATGATCTGCATTTTATAAATACTGAATAATGACCCCTGGCCATGTTCTTTCTTTATCTCTGTTGTATTCTCCTGTTGGGATGAGGAGGAAGCAGTGCTGCTCTTACCCCTGATCAGATGAAGGCTAAATCAGTCTCGCGTCACAGTGCTGTCTTCACTTTATGTAAAGTCTGTGAGAAACACCTGAGATCATTAATCACCAGATTAAATTGGTTGCTGATGGGGTTTCTAGTATTAGAAACTAGCATATTAGATTCATTGAATTATTAACCAGATTAGAGGCAGGTTTTGCTAATTCACTGATACACAGGTGCTAAAATGTTTGTGTCTTTGAAGGCACAATGGTTTCTTGAGCAACTCTTGCAGCATAACCTTTGAGCTGCTGATTGGTAAAAAGAAACAAAAATGTATTGATTTTGTCAGAATTTATTTTTTTATCCAAATGTATGCTTCATCAAATGGTCATTGTTATGTTGTTTGAGTATGTGAGTATCCAATTGAAGTTTGTAGATGAGCCCAATCCTATCCTCTCCTGACATCCACTTGTAGGTACACCTCTTCAGCAGGTAACTGTGGATAGAGATTGGCAATGGAAGCCATGACTAATTTTTCCCTCCCTAACTGGGGGATGCTGATGTCAATTGTTTTGCCCCTACTGCAAATAAAGGTGAAATCTACTAAGTCAGTGCAGACCGGGATTTAACCTGACTGCATGGTTCAATTCCTCACCAAATTAGATCACTGAACAATTGGGGACATTAGCAATGGATTTCATCTGATTATTTTATTATGTAGAGAAAAGATAATTTCTTTATATGGTCTTGAGCAGTTTGAATATATGTTGAAATGTAAAGAGTGTGTTATAAAATGAATGTTGCCTTTGTATTGTACTGTACTGTGAATATAAGAACTGTTGTAACTGTACCTCAACACTCTTTACGAATAAAAGGTTTGCTCAGAATATTGACAGCAAAGCTCACAATCTTCCTGCAGAGTGTTCACCCAGATAGTATTGTCTTTTGTATGCATTAGTCAAATTGCAGAGGTAACCTTCCCTTGCTTAACCAGAAGGTTGCATGAACTGGGGTCGAGCTGTAGAAAATCTGTAAATGATTATTCTTTCTCAGTACAATCTTTTGAAGCCATTTCTGTGTTTCCAGTGAATGGGGTCAGATTTGGGTGTCTTCTTGTTGCTGTTGTATGTAGTTTTTCCCTGATATGTCAACTGATGTAAACTTCCCCCAGCATGTTTCCCCCCCCACCCAGCGTTTTGCCCACAAACTATACACTCAATTCACTTTACAGTATATTCTGTTAAGCGCTTTGAAACATCTCAATGACATGATAAGGCACTATAAATAAATAATAATAATCCTTGAATTTGATATAGCGCTTTTTCACGTCTTCTCGACATCTCAAAGCACTTCGGCAGCCAATTGCGCACAGCAGTTTCCCACAAACAGTCGTGAACTGAAAATGACCAATTTATTATTGTTTTGTTTTGGAGGGATTATTATCAGGCGTGTGGAGTAAGGAAACTTGCCCAAGGTTTCGCTCTGCCAAGAATTGAACCAGGTATCTCGCTTGGAAGGCAAGTGCTCTAACCGCTGAGCTAAAGGACTCCACAATATATCAAATGCAAGGATTATTATTATACACACACAAGTATAGATTAGATTAGGTAGTAAAGGTAATATTAAGAAAAGATGCATGATCACTTTTAATACTGTATTAAAATAATAAAGCCACTCCTGATATTCAGTCTTGAGTTTAGTGTTGCAGAATGTAAGCTCAAAATTTACCAAACCGTCCAGCTCAGGGAGATGGGCATTTTTCTGGCTCAGTAGTTCAAGGGTTAAAATTGGTACTTTTAAACTGAATTGTCTAAATCATAGGTTCCTACCAGAGCCTTTTATTTGTGTTAACTGTTGCTTCACCAAGTGTTGTGCATATGACAAAAAAAATTCTTATCAGAGAAAACCAAACTGTACAAGACAGTTATTGATTGCAACTGTAGGGATGCCCCTGGCAGTATTAGAACATTTGTCCTGTTCCTTTTGGCTATGTTCCCAGGGGAAACAAAGAGGAATCAGATGTAAATGTTTGAGAGAGAGAGAGGAAAGAGGAAGAAGAAAAAAAAGCATTGGGAACTGTTTTTTTTAAACCTAGCAGCTACTTTGCACACAACAACATTCCACAAATCACACAACTTTGTGTACAGCAACCCGCCATGAGTTGAACGACCGATTAATCTTGAGGACTGTTAGTCAGTACACCTAGGATAAACCTCCTCTTTTTGAATAGTGCCATAAGATCCTTGAAATCTTCAAAATCCACCAGAAGTCAGATAGACAGAAACTTGGTTTTACACTTTGTCTGAAGGATGGCAACACTGCACTGGAGTTTCAGCCTAGAGATGAGGCTTCAACCAAAAATCTTCTGACTCGAACTATAGTGGTATTGAATGAGCCAAATTGACATCTCATAATTTGATTGTGGAATCAAGATAGAAACCTCTGTGACGTCTCCTCCTTTTGCCAAATTTTAAACGTGCTGCAATTGCCTGAAGCAGTGTTTTCCCTTAAATGTTCAGAAGTATGAAGATTTCTGCTTCAGTTCTAAACCTGCCAGGAGCAGATTCTCCCTGTTTGTAAATACTGTAATTGAAATTTGTAAAACAAATTCTGTGCAACTGAGTACTGAAGGTGACTATCCTTTTTCAATTTGTTACAGTTAAGATAAGATTGCTTTAGAAAATTGTACAATAATTGTGTTTCCATGAAGACAATTTAAAGAACTCTTACAAGTGCTTCACTTGCGAAACAGCTATCAGTATCTTTCACGCTTAATATTGTAAAGCACTCAATAATTCTTTACTTTTATATTTTCTACATAAGTATGCCTTGAAGATGTTCAGGAGGTATTGTAACTAATATTTATCATCATTGATTTACATTTCAGAGAAAATATCTTAGACATTGTTTTCAACTTGTGTATTGATGGAAGTAAAGTACAAAATATTTTCTACTAACAGACAAGTAATTTATATGTTGGATTGCACTCACAGTAAACTGCAATATTTGTGGTACAAATATTTCTAAAGTAGTTTACAATAAAAAAATAATTTTCAGTAGAACTGTTGCCTTGGTTACAAGCACCCATCTCCACTAAACTCTTTGAGAGGAGATATTG